AGCTGCGGAGGGGCAGCCCAGGCACCCCCCATGGTCAGGCTGGGGCTGGCTGGGTGCTGCAGTCTGTCCCCCACCCCCCAGGTGCCACCGCCCTCAGCCCACCAGGCCATGGCGTCTGCTCCCTGTGCTGGGAGCTTACTGGTGCTGCAGTGACCCTCCTCCCCGCATCTCCAGATGGGCAGGAATGGCTTTGGGCTGACCAAGCCTGAGCCGCATCCCCACCCCTTGGCTGGAAAAACGAACACCTTGCTGTCACCAAGCAGAACAGCTACCAGATCAAGGAAGGAGCTACAGTGCTGGCCGGCCAAGCCCCAGTAGACAGCCTCCGTCCTGGTTGCGAGGAGCCCTGTCTTCTATGGACACAGTGCCCACTACTCTGTCGTTCGTGGGCGAGTCCTCCAGCTTCCTTACACCCTGTCATTACTTTCTGGCACCCCCAATTGGGAGAGAGGACACAAACGAGGTATGACAGGACAGAGGGGTTACTGTTTCCGTCCGCGAAGGCGTTCAGGCTTCCTTGCTTCTCTCAGCAGCTGAACCCACGGCTGACCAGGGCTGGCTTGTGGCTCAGCTCCCCGACCTTTCAGACGGAGGCTGCTGACCCAGGCCTTCTCAGTCACTGCCCGACAGGATCGGCTGAGGGAGCAGTGCACATTTAGCTACTATGAAACGGCATTTGTAACGCTCCAGCGATGTAGGTGACACCCTGACATTCCCTTCCACCGGAGTACATTTGCCTGGCTACCTCAGTTGGAAATGGCAAGGCGGTGGCCGGGGGCCAACCTGGGCACATCCTTATTTCGTTTGGCCACTAGGCTGTCGTTTGGGAACTGACCTGATTGCCCACTGTTGAACATCAGGAGGTCTCACATAAAGGCAGGACTTCCAGCTTCTCTGGAGAGGTAGGGAGATCCAGCGACACGTGGTTGTCACTTCCTCGGGGCCATGGATCATCGGCTGGAGCTGAATAGCAACCACTCCCTTTGGAAGGCCCAGCTGGAGCTCACCGCAGTCCCCGCCAGGCCCTATCGCCTCAGCCTATCCCTGCGGCCTTGATTTGGCCCTGCCCAGCCCCTGGACGTGTCTGGGATTGTAGCTTGCATGGACCGTGTGAGCTGGCCACGGCAGGAGCTGGCGGAAGTGGAGGCAGGCTGGGAAAAGTGTGCTCCGGGCCTGCTTTCGCACTTGTTTGGGCTCGGCTTGTGCTCTCGGAGGGAAAGCTGGGGCAGGGAAACTTCCCCTTCGCTGTCCCTCGGCCTCGGTTGTCCTGCTGCACAGCATGTCAGACAGTGACCACTGAGCAAGGTGACGATTTCAGAACGTCCGTGAGCAAGTCAGGTGATGCTGCTGAGTGCAACGTTCACGGGACATTGGCCACGTCTTCTTTCTTTTTAAAATACATTTATTCATTTATTTCTTCAGAGAGATTAGAGAGAGCTCGAACCCCTACCGGGGTCTTGGGTCTTGATGCTGTAACCACCCCAGCAAGCGCATCAGCATGCTCAAGGTCTCCAGACCTCTGGGACCACTCCTATGTGGGACCGCCCACGGTGTCTTGCTTTACCACTGTGCCACCTGTCCGGACCCCATTTGGAACACGTTTTCTGTCGCGCAGGCTGGGGGCGAGGCAGCTGGTGCAGCAGGGAAAGGCAGGATGCACTGGGGTTCTCTGGCCCGGCTCAGCGGGGCTCTTCCCAGAGGCCCCTTGCTCTGGGATTACATTCTGCTCTCTTTAAAACCCAGCTAGTGAGGCCAGCAGTGGCATGGTAGTTAAGGTGTTGGACTTCCACATGGCTGGCTGCGGTTCAGGTCCCAGACCTGGCAACTTGAAAATCACACTGAGTGTGTGTGTGTGTGTGTGTGTGTGTGTGTGTGCACGCACACCCCAAATCCCAGGAGAGTGAAGGAGAAGGGACTGCATTGTAGCCATCTCCCCTGGGGGGTGATTTCTCATTTTCTCTCTGTCTCTGTCTCTCTCCTGTCAGTGTACTGCCCTATGGCAAAAACCTAAAAAAAAAAAAAAAAGAAAAAAGAAAACCCAGCCATCAGCTTCCTGTTGCTTACAACCCAAAGCACTCAGACTATTCCACTGTGGCAATCCCTGCCAGCGGTGACCCTCACGACACCTGAGGGGTCTCCCCTCCATGTTCCCTTGTGTCTCATGTCCTTGGCATCTGCTTTGGGGTAAAGCATCCTGGTCCTCTCAAAATTTCCCCTTTGTTGTTGCTGAGTAGGTCAGTGAGGAACGGTGGCTCGCTTCCCCTTCTTCAGCACTGGTGGGAACCCAGCACCGCAGGGACACCTCCCTGGGGTGGGAGTGAGTGTGGAAGGCCACACCGAGACCCATCTATTCAATACACAGGGCGGGCCTCCAGGGACTGGCAGCCTGGCCTGAGCTCAGGGTGCCCGGGAAGGCTAAGACCTGCATTCAGATCACCACCAGGTGATGGCCCAGAGGGTCTGTCTTGCACTCACTCTGCGAGTGCTGACCAGTACCCGTGCCAGGCAGTGCCGGGGCGCGGAGCGTATTCGAGTGCTAAAGACATGCAGCCCAGGGGAGCTGGAGTTCTCACGGCACGTCGTCTTTATGCGTGAGGTTCTGGGGATACAAAATTGAAACTTCAGCTCCAGTGGCTTCACAACTATAAGCTGCACTTTCCTCATTTGCAAAATGAAATTAAAATAATTATCTCCCAGCTGTTTAGAGGATTAAAGAAAAAAATGCACAGGCATGCTCTTGGCATTTAAGCCTCCACAAATATTACTTTCGCCTTGAAAAATCAAAAAAGTTACATGTACCTCCCAAAGCCACAGGACAGCCTGACCGGCAGGCGGGCCCGGAATGGTCCCGTGATCCGGGCCTGCAGGAAGGCTGCGCAGCGCCCCGCCAGCCCTCGCCTGGTCGCCTGGCGCCGGGCACCCGGGCGCGCAGGGCTCGCGGAGCGGCCACGAGGGGGCAGCGCGCGGCAGGGAATCTGCGGCGCCGACCCCCGCCCACCGCCCAACTTCC